GTGTTCCCTTCACACCATGACGGCGGTGGTGGTGGCGGCGGCGGCGGCGATGAGTGGCTCCTAGGACTGCTCCTTTTGGAAAGAAAACCCCTCGTTATCGAGACAGGGTGAGGAAGCCTGCATGCACACAAGACGTACGTGCACGAACCCACGCACACACGCACGCACGCACGCACGCAAGACCCAATAGACTGTCAGTAACATAGCCGTTGGGGAGGAGCACTCTGCCCCCTTGCTCATGGGGGACATCGCCTTTTGTTTTTGCAATTTTTTTGTGTGTTTTTTTTTTTTTTTTTTTTAGGGATATGGGTGGACAACACACAGGGCATCATCCAGCAGATATGTAGGGTGTGTGTGTGTGTGGGGGGGGGGGGTTGAGGGGTACGGCATGCGCACAAAGCAGGTTAAAAAAAAGGACAGGAAAAAAAAAGAAGAAAGCGAATATACCGGGTCAGGCACGACCCCTGGACGCCCCATCCCAGGTTGCTTCTGGGAGCGGGGCGGCGTGCGCCTATGTCAGGCTGGTGCGTCTGGTCCATCACCGGCGCTCCTTGCACCGCCGTTTGACTGTTCATCCGTTTCCTTTCAGCAACATCTGTGTCCGTCTGTCCCAAAAACACCAGCGCGGTGGTGGTGGTGGTGGTGGTGATGCGCGCGGACCTTGGCTCTGCGTGCTCAGGCGCTGCCCTCTGGTGGCGGAGCACCTCGCTTGCGCGCGGCCGTTCTGCGAGGACTGCTGGTCGAGTCTGCCGTCGGGACGGCCACGCGTTGTCAGGCTCCATCTTGCAATCAACGCCCAGATGTACACACTGCTGTACTGCACATGTGCGCAAGAGGTGGAGTCCCCCCCCCCGAAAACACCAAGAAAAGTCTGATGTATGGCCATCATGAGGAGAGACTGTGTGGGTCAACGGCGATTAAGAGGCATTTTCTACGGTCAGACTGCAGACGGAGTATCACTGGGAAGCGTGGGCTAAATGACAGGCGACCGGCGATAAAATGTATATAAGCGAGAATCACAGTGGCACGGGTTAGACTGAATAGACTGGTTAGGGGGGTAGACTGAGTTGATGGAAACATTAACTGAGGGGACAACTTGCGTGCGTGCGTATGTGCGGCGGGGGTGGAGTCGTCGTCGTGGCAGCCAAGGGAGGGATGGGTAGACAGCCATGTGAAAGTTGGCTTGGGGGAGGGTGAGGAGGCTGATGGACAATCTGCCTGGGTGATTCAGTGATTCTGTCACGAACACACGGCTCCCCCCCACGCCCCGGACATGACGGGAACTGAGAGAAAAGAAGCAACGAGGGGGTGGGGGAAAAGGAGAACAGAAATAGTAGTAACATTACCCATCAACGTGGACGCACACACACACACACACACACGCATGCACACACGGCTTCCTTCCACCCATGAGAGAACCAAGGGGTAAGACGCAAGGGGGTGGGGGGTGAAAAGATTGAAGAGAAAAGAAATAGTAGTAACATTACCCATGAGTGCACGCACACACACACACACACACACACACACACGCACACACGCGCGCACACACACACACACACACACACACAGGGGCCTTCACCCGTCCTGCCCAGGTGCCTCCAGCTCGCAGGGGTTTGGAGCAGGACTAGGCTCGCAGAAAAGCCTAATTTCAGAAATGCTATTTGTACAAAAGAAAACAAAAAAAAAAACAAAAAATAAAACAGAACAGCAAGAACCATGAAAGAAAAAAAAAAAGTTTTTTCCTCCCTATTAAAACATCTCTAGCTGACTAAAAAGGGGAAATACACCAATCCAATCATCCTTGAGAAAGAGTTATTGCTGACGTTGTGAAGGACTGACGAAGGGCTGGCTGGATGGGTGGGTGGGGGGGAGTGGTGGAGGAGTGACAGGTGAGGTGGTGGATTGGGGAGGGGATGTGGGCTGGTCACTCCTGGGCAGGTAATGGCATCGGAGGAACTGGGCTTGGGGGGGGGGGGGGGGGGGGGCGCATTTCCAATTGGACCCATCCAGTGCCACCAATGTCAATGTACTGGAGGGGCGAGGGGCTGTTGACTTGTATGGAAGATGTTGGGTGTGGGGGGTGGTGGGAGGGGTGGGGGCTGGTTTCCAGGGGCGACGGAATGTGTTGACGCGCGCGGAGGGGGCTATTGGTCGGAGGGGTTTTCTCTGTTGTCGGCCTCGGCCTTAGTGGGCTGCCCTGGGGAAGGGGCGTGGGGGGGGTGGGAGACGGGGGCGATGCCGTGCGCCAGGGAGCCCTGCACCAGACCCTCCACCCCGGCCCCCGGGAGAGCGCCCGCCACGTTGATCAGACCCGGAGGAAATCTGGTAGAGAGAGACAGAGAGAGAGAGAGACACGCGCACACACACACACACACACACACACACACACACACACACACACACACACACACACACACACACACACACACACACACACACACACACACACACACACACACACACACACACACACACACAGCGTGCGAGAGAGAAGGATGGAAAGAGACAGAGAGGGACGTTTTATGATTTGAACTAGTAATTAGACACTGGCAGTAAAAAAAAAATCTTGCTTTTCACATGCTTTGTTCATACATTTCAATATTTTGCGAAAATAAAAAAAAAGCTTCTATGTTTGCCATCAACAGGAATGTGGTGCTTTCATTACCATATCAATGTACTGTCACAGTATATGATGGTCGCTTGTCACAGCAACCCCGCTGGCATGAGAAAGCCGACACTATTAAGTGTAAAGCGTAAGCAATAGCTGTTAAATGAGCAACCACTTGTCAACGCTCACACCACTTCTAGTACTACCTAGTACTACATGCACGTACTAATAAATACATAGGAACCGCTAGGTTCGCGGATGATGTTTCGGCCCTCGGGTCTTCTTCAAGGTCAAGATTGTTGTACTTGAAGGCCTGTGGGCCGACACGTCATTCCAATGAAAGAGGAATACATATGGAGCCAGAGCGTGCGACACCTGTCTACTTTCAGTCCACTTCCAGTGATCAGCACCTCACTACAAACCTTGGTGTGCGTTTTCCATTAGATTTAAAGGGACATTATATTTATATTTTTGAGAGCCAATATGCTTCTACAAAAAACAAAATAAGAAAAGTCAGTTGTATTTGACTTGACAAATACAAGCAAAACCGGGACATATCAGATCTGGCTCGGCATCGCTGGACGGTGCATCTGTCAGCAACAGCTGTAACCGAGGCATCTGTCCTCTACAGTAGAGCTGTTGCTAATTAGTTAATTGTCAGCTCAGTTCATTGGTCATTCAAAATACCGTCAACCGACTAGACACTGACAGACAACTGTGCAGAAATATAAATATAAACAAATGCTAAACAACAAGTCATTGGGCAATGTGCAGATTACACATCTTCCCTCGACCCCCCTGAATAGTATTACGTTATGTTTGAAAAGCCCATTATTATTATTATGATTATTATAATTATTATAATCATCATTATCATCAATCACTATAATGAGCAGCACCAACTGCTCAAGTGGCAATATAAAAGTATAACAAGCAGGTGTGCGTCTAATAGTTGGTTTAGAGCCCAATGCATCTGCAAGGCAGTGCTCAAAGACCCCTGGGCCTAGACATTGCAGGGTGGAGATGATTGAAATGTGCAAAAGTGTCCTGCAGCATCGTTGAAATTTGACCGTCATACTCAACAACATAGATTGGAGAAAGAAAGTCCCACTATTAAAAGAAAAAGAAAGACCTTTTTTTTTGCACTGCTCGTTTGTCCTCGTTTTCATAATACAATAACTGAATGGTGCAGCATGCAATCAAGCGTGGCTCTGGGCGTACCTGTAAGCTGCGGCTCCGTTGAGCTCTGGGTGAACAGCGGCTTCCATGCTGGGCCACTGCGAAGCGGCCATCAGATATTCCTTATTCACGCAGTTCTTCAGACTGTCCGGGATGCGCCCTGCGAGCAGGAGAAACAGCAGAGCTTTGGCTTTCTATACAATGAAGCTACGCTACATCTATGTTGTTCAGGCATTCGACAACGTAATGCGCCGACATCCAAAACACCCAAAGCGACTAGCTTGTGCTGATGGAATGTAGGGCTGCAAGTTAACTAACCATTGTTTTCATAGTCGATTCATCTAACAGACATTTTTTTTCGATGAATCATTTAGGAAATGTTTAGTCTAGAAAATGTCATAAATAATAGCAAATGCCTTTGCAGTTACCAGAGTCCAAAGTGATGTCTTAAATTTGCTTGTTTTATCTGACAAGCGGCCAAGAAAATGTATTCTTTCATACTGATCCATAAATCAAATATTTGAATTTCTGAAGCATCAAGCAGCAAATGTTTGGTATTTCTTCTTGTTAAATGACCTAAACGGTAATTCGATTATAAACATTTGATTCGATTAATTTTCTGTTGATCGACTAATCGATTAAGTGACTAATTGTTGCAGCCCTAATGGAGTGTGCAAGTAGAGCAGAGCGGTTCCATGTCAGAAGATTGTTGTTCAATGAGACGGTTACATGTCAGAAGATTGTTGTTCAATGAGATGGTTACATGTCAGAAGATTGTTGTTCAAAGAGACGGTTACATGTAAGAAGATTGTTGTTCAATGAGACGGTTACATGTCAGAAGATTGTTGTTCAATGAGACGGTTACATGTCAGAAGATTGTTGTTCAATGAGATGGTTACATGTCAGAAGATTGTTGTTCAATGACAACATGGACCTCCTGTTGGGTCTTACCAGTGATGGCCCGGCGCACCTCCCGAGCTGCCTCCTCGCGTGCCTCCACGGAGGCCTGCTCGCTGTACCAGGATGTGTGGGGGGTGCAGATCAGGTTGGGGGCGTCCTTCAGAGGGCCTGTCGAAAAGCTGCAGGGGAAAAAAAGGAGACTGTTGAGGGGACTGATGAGGGGTACATAAAAAAAAAAGGTATCTACAGTGTAATGCATCCACGACACATCCACCAAATACAATTAAAAATAAAGTCTAGGTCTGATGGTTGGGCAGCAGTGGCTCAGAGGGTAGAGTGGGTTGTCTGGCAAGTGGAAGGTTGCTGGTTCAATCCCAGGCTCCTCCTAGCCAAGTGTCGAGGTGTCCCTGAGCAAGACACCTAATCCTCACTGCTCCTGACGAGCTGGCTGTTGCCTAACATGGTTGACACCGCAGGTGTCGTATGAATTTGAATATGAATGGGTGAATGTGAGGCGATAATTGTAAAAGTGCTTTGAGTGGCCACTGGTCTGAAAAGCGGCCACTGCTCTATAAATGCAGTCCATTTATCATTTAATTTGTATTCATATTCACCAACGCTTTTTTATTTGTCCCAGAAGATAAATGTAATAAAAAAATCACATTGTAATAGCTTTCCCTTTGCCTGTGACTTTAAACAAGAGAATGCATCATGGGTTGTGGCTGTCTGTATACCTGAAGGGCTCCGTCTCGTGGACGTCCAGGGCAGCCCCTCGTATCCGGCCCTCCTTCAGGGCCTGAGCCAGGGCCTTTTCGTCCACCAGCCCCCCTCTGGAGGTGTTCACCAGGAAAGCCCCTTGACGCATCTACAACAAAGAAGCAGTTGCCCATGTTGAGAGAGGAAGCTTGCATAATACAACGCAAAAATATTTCGGCCAAAACGTTAAATTTAGTGTTTCTATGGCAGAAGTAGGCAAACGCATTACAAATGATACCAAGCACAATGTGTGCGTGTTCGGGCGAGGTGATATTTACAATCACAACACTTCCCACAATGAGATCTTAATTAGTGGCTTAGTAAGATCATGTACAGCGAGTGAGTCGTTATTGCGAAATAAAGGCTGACAGGATGTATTACACGGCTACTTACTAAATAAATCAATAATTTGACACAAAATATAACAAAAAAATGATTGATTGATGATTGATGAATTGAAAAAATATTTTGTTTAATGTATTAGATTCTACGGTTGGAAAAAGCGCCCATAGCAATGGTCTGTTACTCATAGCAGCTATTCAGAAATAACTAGGATTGGGTACCGAGAACCGAGTGGTACCGGTGGCAACATTACTTATAACACTACTTATAACACTACTGATATCTGCGTACGCTACGTTTTAGTTGCATTGAGTATACTACCTGAATAACCCTCAGTTTGCTTTTCTCAACACATACTAAAGAATTTGTATCCGTCATTTCTCCATTATAGACTAAATTAATGAATAAAGTCACGTTTTTTCTCCTAATGTTTTCTTCTACTCCACCCCGCATCCAACCCCTGCTGTCAATACTTTATACGTTTGTGTGAAGCAATACACAAACTATGGTATTACTATGCAATGCACATCATTACAACAGCTTTTGCCTGTTCCCAAATAAAATGATTTCCAATTTCACTTTGATTTCACTAGGCTACCTCTGCAGTGAACATTCTTTCTTATTTCCAAAGTGTTGATCATTTCCTTCGCGGAGATTTCCAAACATTTCCGTCTTGTGTTGTTTGTAGTTGCTAGGCTTTGAGGAAACGGAAAGCGATCCGGTTTGTCTTTGCGACAGTGGCGCAAAAATAATACCACTTGACGCTGTTGGCTGTCGAAAAGTTGTCTACAGCCACTATAAGTTATGCTATAAGTTATTATTACAAATGGAAAGAGTAACTGAAACTATAAACAAAGTGACAATTTTATTTGTTTAAATAGGTCTATACTTTTTCGCGAAGCCTAAGATGCTCATATCTTGCCAAATAAGTTACCATTAAAAATGGAAGAATTTCAACAATTGAATCAGTTGTCTATTATAAAGAAGGTGTCATATTGGTTCTGGCACTGTTAGGAACTGGTACCTTTTGAAAGAATCAGTGTTGGCATTTCTATAAAAAAGAAAAGAAAAAAAGTACCGATTTCTGAACCGTTTAGGGACCGGCATTGTTTTACAGGAATCAAAATATTTCAAACAATAAACCCTAGAAATAACGGACCGTAGAACGCCGTAATCAACCAATCCAAGCCGCTGTACATTATCCTTTATGCATGCACGCGTGTGTGCGTGCGTGCGTGTGCGTGTATGGCCTCCGCGTGAAACCCACTCACCTGTTTGATGGTGAAGTCGTTGATGAGGTGGTGGTTGTGCTCGTTGAGGCTGCAATGGAGGGAAACGCAGTCCGAGTGGATGAGCAGGTCCTGCAGGGTGGCCATGCGTTGCAGGCCCAATGAGCGCTCCACGCCGTCGGGCAGGTAGGGGTCGTAGAAGATCACCCCGAACCCAAAGGCCTTGGCGCGCAGGGCCACCGCTTGACCCACGCGACCTGCGAGGAGCCCAGACCAAGGGGTGCACTTAGTGTTAGTCAGGGTCTAGCCTAACTCACTGGATGTAGGTTGTTGGTATAAGCCTGCCATTGGGCGACATGAAGTCCCCGTCGCTACGTGAAACAACAACAACCTCTGGACTAGCAAACTACACGCTGAAAATGGCAAACCACATAGTTGACATATGTCTTTTACTGTTTTATGTGCCGTTTTCTTTTGCAGGGATTTAGCTATTTTAATGCCAGGGCTTGGGTCCCCACGTGCACACACTCCACCAAAACAAGTCCCCCCCAGCACTATTTTCCAAGGGCACCGTCACTCCATCCTGGGCCAAGACGACTGCGGTTTGAAATAATACAAACAAGACGGAGCATTTTTTCCCCTTATACCAGAATGATAGTGGGTTCAGCCAGTTCTTTCTCTAGCTCTGGCACAGCTCTAAAACTAAGTGTGGAGATAGGTCTGGCTATGCAAGACTTAACAGGGTACAACATGTACTTGTTGTCTTTTTACTTGCCAGAGTGGAAAACATCAACCGGCCAAGCAATTGTTTTAATATGTTGGGTTTTTTTACCTGCCAAATGGTTAAATTTATCAGCCATTGCCTGGTGGCAGGTGTTAATTTTGGACCCTGGTGTTAGTGACACCAAAGCATGAAAAACGTATTGATTGACCATTAGGAAAGTCTAATTTAGTCACCACTCTGGGTTTCACATTATATGGATAAATATTTTCTCTTCTATGCAGATTCCTGCTGCCCCCGGTGGAGCACATAACGGTGAGTTGAAGTGACCCTGATAGTGACGCAACGCAACATTTTCTGTCAAGCTCCAGGGTAAAGCAGGACGCCTATCCTCTACCTGCTCCTAAATGACATCTGAAATCCCCAATTCGCTTTGGAGAATAGCATCTGACTGAATAGTCAATTGTCGATAAATGTAGGGCTGCACCCTAAAAGTCCACTAGTCGTTCAGAGCCCCGAATCGACTCAAATTCTCTCAGTCGAACAATCACAGGTTTTTTTTAATGTACATTATAATAAACAAATAAAACATGATTAGATGATAGAGGCTTAACACATAGGAATGTCATGACGGCAATCATGGAAAATAGACAATAATTACTACAAGAGAACCAACTACTGCTTCACAAGGAGATGTATTCCAGGGCCGCAACAGAGAAATAATCTCGAACCAATATTGTAAAAACATCTGGACAAGCTGTAAACAGTCTTGTTTTGAATGCAGTTCATTGACGTGATTGTATGCAACACAAGGAAGTAAATCAACACAACCGAAATGTTGATTGATCCATCGCATATTGATCTAGTCAAACCGAGTTAAAAGTTAGAAAGATACTGGATATTCACGCTCCGTAATAAAGCAATTCAAACTGAAATAATGAGACAGTCTGCGGTGAGTCTAATGGTGTTAGACCCACCTGCTGAAAAGCCGAAAAGCGAGGAAAAAGGGAGGACAGGTGATCCCCGGTCAGGTTCCCACAGTTGACACCGCTAGACCCACGGTGACTTGAAATGCCGAGTGTGCCTTTCGCTTTCGACTTTAGATCGCTTTATTATGGAGCGTGAATATTTGTTTAATATCCATCCGTTATTTTTAACATTGGTTCTCTTCCAATGTTATGGTTGGATTTAGCCTATGATCTATCACGCCCATCACTTGCTTTCCGTAAGCCGGTTACCGTAATGGCGTGTAAAGCTAGACATTTTTTTATCTTTTTAACCACGAATCATTGAATACTCGATTGACCTGGCGACTCGGACGTCGACTTGGAAAATTCAGTGTCGGGTACAGCCATAGATAAATGTCTCTTTTTCCATGCAGTCTTTTAGACAAAAAAAACCCCACTAGGGTGTTGTGACAGTGTCTACTCACCCAGGCCGATGATTCCCAGCGTCTCGCCACGGATGCGAGCGGCGCCACCGGCCACCTCGCGGATCTGCTCTACGCTGGCGGCGCGCGTTCCCTCGCGCAGGGCCTGGTGCATCCAGGTGACCCGCCTGTACAGGTTGAGGATCAGACACAGCGACGTATCTGCTGTCTCCTCCACCGAGGAGGCCGGCACGTTGCACACGGCAATGCCTGGTGGGGGAAGAAGAGGAAAGCTCATGGTGCTGTTGGTAACACTTGAAAATGTCAATTTATATCCCCATTATTATAACACCATAATTACTGTGCTGATGCCCTGGCTTATATGTGGCCTAATGTTTTCCTCCAGATGTAAGAAACCACATTTGGTTGGTAAAGACCCCAAGAAACAACACAATTTTAATAGTTTTGTTCAGTTAAAATGAAAATTGTGATGCAAAAATGATCCTTCCCAATAATAGTGACTCATATCGCAAAATATCTGTAAAAATATTCGCAATATGCTTTTCTTTTTACCATATCGTTGAGCCCTAAATAGTGTTGCTTTCGTCAACGAAAATTATGACTAAATATCGTCGTCAACAAACCTTTATCACGTGACGAAAACGAGACGAGACGCAACGAAAATGGTGGTCATGTGACGAAAACTATAATCAAATTTATAATGCAATATTGTTGACGAATAAAAACGGGACTAAATGTGGTTTTCAAAATAAAAACTCTTTTCGTCCCGTTCATTTCGTCCCGCTATTATTATTATTTTGAAATATTTCTGTTTCCTGAGTCTCAGGGCTGCATCAGCGCACTGCGAAGACGCAAGCGACGTCACTTCCTCAATCCCCACTCGCGGCAAGTTAAAGGCCTTTACACACCGGGGCGTTTTTTTTCCTGTGATTAATTCGCACGTAAATATG